AGTAAAACATCTATTTGCACTTTCACACCTCTAGTTTGGTGAAATTGGGACAAGAATTTACTGGGTTGGGATTGAGTGTTCTGTAATTTAAATAGAAATGCAGCTGGACCAGCGGGTGGCCTGGTGGGGAGGGGAGGTTTTGCTGTTTATTGGGATTTCCGAGGAGTTTTTGGAGCCCTCATTGGTGACGGTGGCAATTCCACACTGGGAATGCTGGAAAGAGGTGACAGAAATAGAAATTCACAGTGATGCCTAAGCTTTTTATATATTTCTCATATATTTGTAGCTTGGTAGATTGCTAATGCATGGCTGTAGTACTTTTCCTGCCCTTTCCCCCTAGATTTTGGAACACATCCCTGAAATATTGTTTAGATTAATAAATACTCTTTATTCCAAATAGGGGACCTAAAATAAGAAGTGGGGAAAGTCCAAGGGGCTGACCCAGGGGTGGGTTACTGGGCCAGCTGAATCTCCTGTTGGATGCAGCTGTTAAATATTTAACCTTAAATTAATTAACCTTATAAAATCTTAGAAAATTGATTCTGGGTGTGCCCATCCCCACGGGGACACCTGGAAGCTTCCAGATAAAGATCTGCATTTTACTTTACTATTCTAACCCTGATTCAAGGGGTTTTTCTCTTTTGATGATAGGCAACAGCAGTGCAGCCAAAAGTGAGATGTAAAGGGAAGCTCTCCACAGAAAATGGTAGATTTTTAAGCATTTTGAGAGCTTTATAAAGCTATTTTCTCTGCCTGTTCTGAGGAGCTCATAGACTGTCCTAACAATAATGAGTGGTTGGCATTGAGGGTCTGTCAGCCAGCCACACACCCCAGGAAATGGCCATGTGCCTGTATTTCCTTAAAAGCACAGCTTAGGCTGGGTTATGAGGGGGGAAAAAACCAAAATTCAGCAACATGCTGGGGGCTTTTTTTGCCTTTAGTGGTTTGCTGTTGGGAAGAAGTAAATGAAGGAGCATGAATACACTCAGGCACGTGATTCATTATCCCACCAAGATGCTGAAAAATAAGAGCACATTGAAAATCATGTTCTGAGGGGCAGCTGAAGGAGTAGGGAAGACTGAAGGATTGACCTTTGGGACAGTTAATTTTTTATTTGGTTATTATCCCAGTGGAAGCTGTGGTAAGTTAGGTTGTTTTGGGTTTTTTTGTATTTGGCTGTTTGGGGTTTTTTGGGTTTGGTTTGGTTGTTTTGCCAACAATGGAGCTAGAAAACCAAAAATGTTGACATTTAGAGAGGTGTGCCATTTTTGCAGCCTCAACAGCATTGTTTTTTCCTTTTGGTTATTTGTGTTGCCCCTCTTGATTTCTCCAGCTCTCCTTTCACTCCAAGGAACAGCCCACAACATGATTATTTGGAGAGTATGAAAACAACCCAGGAAGGCCCTTGGGAAAAGCCCATGTGCCCCCTTTAAGGGGTGAATTGTAATTTAGGGACTAAATTACCATTTCTGCTCAGAGCATGTTAAAAATGGGCATGAAGAGATGGAACTCCAAAGATTTTTATCTTTAAGGTCCAGGGATAATCAAGTAAACAGAATAACTCTACTTCTCCTTGGCATGTCATTTATTTACTAGTTTCCTGTTGATACACATGCATGCATATGACTCTGATTGCTATAGAAGATAAAACTGAAATTTGCTTTCTGTGCCACCTTTGGTTTTGGGGTTATTTTTCTCTTGAAATAAAATTCTTGTTAGACCCCAACTCTGTGCTTCAGCTCACCATGGTCATAAAGCCCATAGGATCTGAGTTCCAACCAGGCTCATTGGGAGCAATTTCACTATACTAAATCAGCTTTTAATTACCTCAAATTTGCCACAGGAAATTACTTTATGTTTTTGGGGACTTTTTAAAAATCCTTTCCTCTTTAAAAGAAATTGACTGTGGAAAGGAAAGTCCAGATTTAAAAAACTGAAGGTTGGTTGTGCTGTTTGGAGGAAAGGATGGAAAGAGAGAGGCTCCTACAGTACAAAGTCTGGCATTGTGTGTGCACAGCTCCTCTGTGTATTTGAAGAAGAAGTGGCAGGACATTTTCATTTTCTTTGTCTCAGTTCCTGGATTTTACAAGTTAGTTTGTCTCTTTTTCTACCCAGACAGCGGCCAACCAGAGGTGAGATTTTCATGCTGTATTGGGAAGGGTTCTGATGATGTTTTCTGTGTTTTTTCTTGCTAGTGCAGCAAAATTTTCCCTGTGTTGTGACAAAAAACTGTGCTAATGACAATACACCATAGTGCAGATGGCTCAAAGGTTAATGCCAACTGTTAAAGTAATGGACACATCCAGAGAAAGCCTCCAGCCACGGGATGTTTTGTAACTGGCATCTCACTGTTCAATTTGTCTCTCCAAACTGAGTCTTGCTGTTTGTTGGGGTTTTTTTAGGGCACCAGATGTCAGTAAATACAACTTTGTAGGTGTAGTAGATACAACAACAGTCAGGGTGAACAGGACAGAAAATCTTGCCATGACTGTCAAAAGATGATATAAGAGGGTGTATCATAGTTAGTCAGAGAAACAAGGTAAAAAGAGTTAAAGAAAGGAAAAAGAAAATAAAAAAAGGAGGGGAGAGAAGAAAAGATGGAGAGAAATGTTCTATTTCACTTCCCCTGAGCAAACATGTAATTTCCATGATTTCTTTTTAATGACTCTCTCCTGAAGCTGGTAGGTACTGATTTATGAAAAGCTGTAAAGGATCAGGTGGAGCCCTGCAGGACGTCGTTTACAGCTGCACGGACTGCAGCCCGTCTAATTTGTCTGCTAAAGTGTGAGCTCATGGCACACATCACCCAGACCATAAATTCCCTGGTCAGCCCTTCTGTCTAGGGGCTGGGGCAGGGGGAAAAGCCTGCCAGGGTGTGCAGATGCTCTGCAAGCCCAGCTTTCCCCTGGTGCACATGAGGAGACAGTGCAGGCTCTTCGCAGCAAGGCGAATTCCTGCTCGTTGATAAACAGTCCAGATGTCCTCTCTGAGGAGGAAAGTAACTAATTTCTGTTTGGAGTACTGCAAGAAGAAAAATGATACTTTACAGTGCTGGTTACTCTGAGGTCACTTGCATTAAAATTAGGTCATATTTTTTGTCATGATGATACTTTGATCCAAGTAATAAACATAAAGGCTCTTTTGGGCCACTCTAATTCCTAATCCTAGAGACCTGTTCTATTTCAACTTGTTTATACTTTTTTTTTTTTTTCATTAGTGATTCTTGAGTCAGACCTTGTTTTATTAGACTTAAGTTAAAAAGGTGTACTAAGCTGGGGAAAAAAAAGTGTGTGCTTTATCACTAAGAACACTTCATAAATACTCTTAATTAATATCTTGGGATTCCAGCCACTGTACCCAGAAAACTATAAATAAAAAACCATTGGCTCTTCACAGGACAAACAGTAGTCAGTGAATTTCAGGCCTTACAGCTACTGATTAAAACTATCTTGGGCCTGATTATCAAACTGAGCCTTTAAAGCTGGGTGTCATGTAGGTGTCTAAGATTTGGTTTGACCACGGCAGCAGCACATGAAGTGAGCTGCTGTTCTGGGGACAGAGCAGGTTTCTGTGTCTTTTGTTGCTTTTCTTTCCATGGGTGGCTGTTCCCAGCCTGTGAAGTCCAGAGTTGGTGCCAGTGGTCACAGTCCTGGCTGGGCTCTGGAGGGAAGGGAGCCAGGCAAAAGCTGTTCCCATCAGGGACACCTCAGCTCCTCTGGGACCTGGTGAAAACTGATTGTGTGTGTTTGGAGTTACAATTTTCAAGAATCCAAGTAGCTCTTTAATTATGCCCAGCAATCCCAGAAGGGGGAAAAAAAATACTGTATTAACTTTCTGAGCCTGAAAGAAATCAGCTGATTGATAACAATCAAAGTGAAAGGAGCTGTTTAAGATGTGGCCAATACTAAAAATCATTGTTCTTTTCTTCAAAAGTGAAAGGTAAAATTAGTGATGTAAGTAATGTTACTTATGTGACTGATGTGGTATCCCCTGATTCCAGGGCAAGTCAGGTGTAGTGCAAAGATGTGATGTAGTGCTGCTGATTTTGGTGAAATTTAAGACATACTGGAATTGAGAAGGATTTGGAATTTCTAGGGTTCTTATGAGGTTAAAATCATTACATTTAAATATGTGGTTCTCTTGGTGCCTTTAAAATCTCCTCCTATTTATGTTGGTTCCATTGATGAACAGAGATGACTTGGGTTTGGAGTGAAGAGAGTGTTTTACAGCCCAGATCAGTTCTCCAGTTCCAGTAGCTGTCACCTACCTGTTACACTGTGCAATCACTGCCTTTAAATTATGCTGTCAGTCCAGCCACCTCTCATTTTCACTGCTTTCAGGGACAAAAGTCACTTCAAATGGGTTCAGCAGCAGTAGTCAGACTCCTGTGCAGGTTGCTAGAGAGAAAAAGAATTCTGGGGCAGAAAATAGAATGTGAAGTTGCAGAGAAAACTGCTTTGAACATTCTCTAGTTCAGTCTCAGGCACAGCCCAGCCAAGCACATGCTTGGCTTTAAGCATGAAATAAAACAAGAAAAATAAGGTACTTTGCATGTTGTTGAAGCTTCTAATGTAGTAGGATTTTTCAGTGGGCCACAATATTCTGAACATTTGATATGACCAAATTCTACCAACACACTCAGCTTGGAGCCTGGAGTGTGCATTGTCCGTGTGATGTTTGGGACTAGGTGAATCACATAAATATAACCTAATTAAGTCTTTGTTAACATTAATTTGGGAGGTCCCAATGTACTTTGTGAATGCTGCAGTGATTTAAACACGGGTGTGGGAAGCTGGTGCTGTTCAGCAGGATGATTGCACAGCATTTGTCCGGGCTGCCAGCACCAGTCCCATGGTGGCCTCAGCAGCTGAGAACTCCCACAGACAAACAGCAAAGCCACATCCAGCCTGGATGCTCCTGCCACTGCTGAGTTTAGACACAAAACAAAGCTGTGTTTCTCCCTGCTTCCTAAATTCCATTGCATGACTCTTTCATTTCAGGCCATCAAATCTCCTCCTGGACCAAAGCAGCGTTGACATCTCAGCCTTCCGCACCGCGGGTGATTGGCTCAATGGATTCCGGACAGGGCAGTGCAAGGACATCTTCACTGGGGTGGAGTACAGCTCCTGTGACACCATAGCCAAGATTTCCACTGAGTAAGTTGCAGCCTGATGTGGGTTTTCATCACAGCTACAAGTTCAAACATAAGCACAAAGGTAGCACTTTTGTATGGTGTTCCTAATTCTTAGCTAAAAATTTCTTACATTTAAAGAGACAAATGGGAGTTATTTGTTGTAGTTGAAATAGCCATGAAGGAAATCTGTGTCTGGTGATTGTGTGAAGGCCATGGTCCCACAGGTTTTTCTCACTAAATACAAGGAAATTCCCAATTTCTTCCAATAGAGTAGCACCATGCATCATCTGGTACACGAGCATCACTTCCTTTCACTGAAGTTTCTCTGTTGATTCTTTAAATTCTGTATTTTACATGGGAGTTTCTCTACAGCTGACACATTACCAATCTTTCCCTTTATTGCCTATCCCATATTCCACCAAACCAGGTGAAGGGGCAAATTCTTTGTAGCTGTTTTCCTCCTCCATGCTAATAATTACTCAGGAGCTGAGCTCCCTCCTGCTATGCTTGGAAGTGAGCAAATTGCAAGTTTATTACATTTTAAATGCAATCCATCTTTGTTCTAATGACAAGTAGGAGTAGGGTAATGTTCTTTCTGCACCTGAAAAGGCATCAAGCACAGTTAAAACTTTAATGCCAAAGGAAATCTTAATTCCCAGTTTGGCTGGCTGGATGCACAACAAGTTATGGAGAAGTATGCAGCAGCTGTGCTACCAACAATTAAACACATCAATGCCATTAATTAGTGTATTACTGCATCTATTAAAAGGGTGCTAATTGCTTTTTGTAACAATTACCCTTTGGGGACAGTGTAGAAATCCCCTAGGAATGCCCAATTTCCTGTGGGCCCCTGGTTAATTAGCCCTGCACAGGTGTTAAAGCACCTCTGTGTTGCACAAGGAACAATGAGGCTGAGATCCTGGACAGACAGGAGGGGAGAACCAGGGGAGGGAAGCTTGGCCATGGATTCCTTTACCTCAGGGCTGATAGCAGAGCTCAGAGGACCTTTCACAGGCCAGTGATGTGTGAGCACTGCCCAGGAAAAGCCATCAGATTGGCAGGGGGATGGAGGTGTTAGAGAGGCTCAGCTGATCCAGCAGTGACCCCCTTGCTCCAAAACCCCAAACCCCAGTGCTTGCATCACTGGAGAACGATTTCATTGCCTTTTCTTCCATGTTTTCCTCCACAACAAGGCTAAACGAGCTTTGACTAATTTTTTGCAGGCCCCTCATGTTTTCAGGCAGTTGCTCTATGGTTTTTTGCAGCAGGGCTTGTGTTTCAGCATTATCCCTGTACCTGGAGGTTCCTGCAGTGCAGCACTGTGAGACGAGCAGGTTCATTGTTGTTTGCTGGGAGCAGAGCTGTGAAATTCAGTGTCCTCACTCACACACCTCCTCTTTTTTCCAGTGACATGAAGAAAGTTGGTGTTACAGTGGTGGGCCCTCAAAAGAAGATTGTCAGCAGTATCAAAGCTCTAGAAACTCATACAAAGAACAGCCCTGTTCCTGTGTAAGGTACCAAAATGATGTTGCTCGGGAGAGGAAAACAAAAAAAAGGAGCAAAGTTGCATCGCAGGTGAAAAGTGATGGCTGACAAATGGCAGAATTTAAAGGAGATCTTGGCAACAGCTTGGGAAACGCAATGGTTGAGATTTCAAACCCACAAGACACTCAAATACTGAGTATAAATGCCTTAAAAATAGGAGCAAACTTGTTTTCTATCTGTTAATCCTAAAGGGTGGGTGCTCTTGACTGACTGTTAATGCAGATAGTAAATATCAAAAGAAAAAAAAAACATGTGAAAAATCCTTCCAAGTAAAAACCAGTGTTACTAAAACTTAGAGCCATTTGAATATTAAGTGACTGAATAACAGAAAAAAACCATGGACATAAAAGCTGTGTATTTGATCTATACAGCAAACAAGAAGAAAGAAAGACTTGCAGTATTTTTATACAGAAGAGATCTGTAACAGGTATTTTATTTCTTTAAAAGCAAGGAAAATAGAGGACTATACCTCACAACCTGTCTGGCCATATTTACTATAATGTCATTGTAACATGCTATTTCAGCTTCAGGAAGGAACACAGAAATAAAGTTTGTAGTGACTTTGAGTTAGTTGACAAAAGATTTTCACCATTATGTTAGCTTCCCTAACTGTGTTCATTTAAATAGAAACAAGTCTTAATTTTTAAAAGGCTTATTTATTTTCTTGGTTTTTTTTTTTCCATTATTGTTTATATTTATGCTTAAATACCTTAACCTGGCTGTATTATTGCCAAGTGCCAAATGTTATCCAAACTTCATTGGTTCAACCTGAGAAACTGTCTGAGGGTTAGTGACTAGATGATTTTATACACTCATAGCATCATGTATGAAATACAGAAGGAAAGAAAGGTGGTTTTTTTCCAGCACTGACACTATGAAAAGCATCTGGACTTTTTTTGGCAAATGAGATTTCTTCCATTTGCTGTGAGTGGTATTTTCCTCCAGGCTGGGGCTTTGTCAGTGGTGTGTGCATTGATCTTTAGATCAGGATCTGCCCCAAGCAGGACATCCCATTTCTTACCCCAGGGCTGCTTTCCTGTCACAATAATTTCCTTTTTCTGGGATGGTGTTCAGGTGAGAGATCTGCCAAGAAAAGAGAAAAGAGGGCCAGGGTTTGTTGCATCCTGCTTTAACTGATGATGCTTTTTGAGTTCCCTGGGAAGTGACCCTTGTTTAAAGGGATGACTTGAGCTGTGAGGGGAGGCTTTGGTGTGGAAGTTTACACATGCCTGAGCTAGAAACCCCCCTGTAGAGGCACTGCCATCCTGTAGGGGACCTGAATTTTTGGCACAGCTTCAGTGGGTACCTGTCCTTTGAAAGAAAGCAAAAGGGAGCCCAAGTCCAGGAGAACATTGACATCTCCCATTGGAAAAAGGAGACTGGAAGGTGGATTTTGGGGGCCCTCCACCATTTTTAGCATCTTCCAAAGAGCTTCCCAACTCCTAAGTTCTTGCTCTGGAGCAGTTCTGCTCAGTCCCAGTTCTGAGCAGACACCACTTTTTGCTCTGAAAACGAGTGGTTTAAAACATAGTGGGAGCCATTTCTTGTGCTTCTTAATGCTGTAGATGTGATGCCAGGCACACAGAGAGCAGGCCTTGGTCACCAGGGGAAACCATTCTGCTTCCCAACTTGACATTCTGGAATACAGACTTGATTCTGATGATGATGAATCCCTAAAAATTCAAGACTGTGTGAGAAGGAGGTGAAAAAATGGCACATTGTGTTTTCTCTGTGCATGCAAAAGCAGGTGACCACTTGTGCTTCCTTCTGCTGGCTTGGGTTTTGAAGCTCCTTGGTATGTAAGTGAGGAAAGAATCACTTTCTAGGATTTGTGGGACTGGAACTGTTCTGCATGAATCCAGGACTTAAAAAATGTCCAGGCACAACATTTATCACACATTGCTAGAAGAAGTGTTAGAGGCTTTTTCATGAGTGCTGGTAGTGAGCATGCTGTAAAGGACTGGGTTTGAAACACACTCACAGCATAATAATTAGTAATTCTCTCTGAAAGAGAAGTGAATGGGTTTTAAAATTGAAATTTGAAAATGAAAATGAAAGAAAGGTAAAATAAAACACTCAAGATGTAAAGAACACTTCCCCTTATCTGCCCCAATCTATCATGAAATGCAGCGAGCTGGACAGAAAAGCTGTTTTGTGTTGCTTAGTTCATTCAGCATCCATCTTTACTTCGGGTTGAGATTGCTCTAAATCAGACACTGTTAGTGAATTTAAGCCACCAAAACCCAGTGGCAAACACTGTCTGTGTGGGGACGGCTTTTTGTGACATTTCTCCTCAGCTTCACCCTGCTGCTGGAGTGTGGGGATGAGGGGCTGGGGTGGGGAGCTGACCTCTGGAGATGCTCCTGGAGACCCAGCTCTTAGAGTTTTAGACACTTGAAAACTTTGCACCAACCACCCTCAATTTCCTCCTGTCGTGTTCTTGCCCACTGTTCAGGCATGCTCAGCATAAAAGATCCAATCTCACCGAGGGGAAACAAAATGAAGCAGCTGGGTTTTGCTTTTCTTTGCTGTTAGGAGCTGAGAGTTTTTAAAGCCCATTAGGTTTTCTCTCCCTGTCAGAAGTTGATTTGTACTGTAAGTGGCCTCTGTTGCAAGCATCATGTACTCCCTGTCCCCCTGTACATATGTAAACATAGCAGTGTACAATTCTTCAGTGTGGAGTAGAGAAATAGAGGTCGTGTGGCCATCTGCCTGTACAGGTTATGGACATCCAGCAAAATGCAAACTGCTCATAAAATGACACGCCATGTTATTGGGTTTGTACCTTTCAATATAGTTTCCATTTTATTTATTTCTGTTAACATAATCTAGTTTTTGTGCTGTAACTTAGCATCCAATAAGCAATGTATAGATGTGATTTGATTGGCAATATGTATTTACTTTAACTTGTATTTCAAAAGCATTACTTACTCATTTAGATTATATATTGTGCAATTGTAGATGGCCTCTTACTAATGTAAAATGATTTGTAGTGGAAACATTTATATTTTTATAATAAACATAATGAAAGTATTTTTTACATACTGAAATACTGAGGTGATTGCTTGGAGGACAAAGTAAATTTATCTGATTAGTGTGATAAAATTGTAATTAAATATGGATAAATTCTGAGTGTTAAAGCATGGGTCTGGAGTGAAAGCTAGATATTACCTATATTATCTATTGAAAGAAACAAGCAGTGCAGGTTTTAACTAAACAGACCAGCATTTGTGCAAAACTGACTTACATCAGTCAAAGACTTTACTTTCTCCATGGATACTGGAAAACATCATCTTCTACAGCCTGCCTATGGGATATTGAAAAAAGCTGCCACTTATTTTATTTTTGTGTCAAGTATTTCCAAACTTTTGCTTTCTTTCCTCCCTCACCAGTGGACCTATTTTCATCTTATTAATATGTTGAATCCAGTCAAAGATGTACTTTTCAACAAAATAAAATAGCCCACCACATACTGTAACTTCACCCCATGATCATTTCTTGCCTCTGAGTACCTGTATTAGATAATATTTTGCCCCTGTTTTGTTATGTCCCTGCCATGTTGTTTCTGTGTGCTTCACCCAAGTACAGGGTCTTTGGAAATGCCAACATACACAACTCAGGAATCCTCTTCCTAGGAAAATAGGAATGGTTTTGATGCTTGCCAGTTTCTTGAATTTTGCAGGTTCTTTCTGTACCATAACTGATTTTGCATGCTTTTGTATACTACTCTGCTTACTGGTGCAAAACAATGAATGATATACCTGTCCTGGAGTCTGTAAGTTGATAAAATTTATGAATGTGGATGTAGCATACTTCTTTTTTGGGGTGGGGGTGGCATTCTGTCTTGGTGTGTTTAACAGAAAGGGGAATTACAGAAAAAGTCACCCAGAGCTGGATTTGTCCTTAAATGCCCCTTGTCCTTCCTGCCACCAGAGTGCTTCATGCTGTGGTGGACAAATGGCGTCATTTTAGCTTCCAAACAGGGGGCTTGATGCTGTGCTTGAGCACCAGGGCTCTGATGGGATCTACTCCATGCACATAATGGTGCAAACCATTTTCTCTGTCAATAGGTTTCTCCTCAGCAGTTGTGTCAGCCCAGCTTGTGTCCATCCCTGTGGCATTGCTGGTACATTATATTTGCTCCAGAGTCTAGAGGGCACGGTGGCTATTGGTGTTTTTATTGCTTTTACTGTAAAATGGTATTCATTTGATTAATGAATGTAGCCAGCTCTGGAAGGGCAGCAAGATGCACTCACTTAACAACAGCAGGACAAGGAACAGCCTGGCAGCCCCCAGAATCCCAGAATGTGCTGATTTGGAAGGGACCCATCAGGATCATCGAGTCTGGAGAGGTAAATTGCTGATAATCACTTCCATAAATTCAATATGCCTGCCTGGGTTTTTTAGTGCTGCCCAAGTGGTGTTTTTCTACTCTGCATTTCTTCCCAAGGATGATGCCCATCATCAGATATCTGCACCATTAAAAGCCCAGCAGTGCCAAGTGTAATCAGAGCATTATTTCTGCTGTCTCACATGTGCCACCCCTGTTAATTCATGTGGATATCCATGCTATTGGCTTCCTTTCATTTTCTGAGCTGCTCTAATGCCTCAGTTCCTTTCCAAACCACCACTGCCTGGTCAGTAATTCCCTGTTTAATGGGTGTGCACTCAGTTCCTTTTTCAGTCCTTAGTCCAATCCTTTGGGATTCCTTAATGAATTTTACTTTCCCCTGTCAAAAAAAAAAATTATTTTAGAGATATTTCCCTCAGATTTGATTTATTCCCATATACAAACAGGCACATGGTGTTCATGAAGGTTACTCATGCAAAGGTGAACAGCACAAAACACAAAGAGCAGCTTCCCCTTGGCTTCCTCATGATCCTTTTCAGATGGCCAGAGAACCTCTGGTAAATGAAGAGTACTCAGTACATGGGATTTTTCAGCTCTCTCTGCTTTCACATTAAAATTATTTCATAATAGCTCATATTTCCCCAGTTAGCTCATGAGAATGTCAAGGGGGACAGCACCAGAAGTCTTAGTAAAGACAAGATAAATCACATCCACTACTTTTTAGATTATCCTGCCACAGAAATAAATTAGATGAGTTTGACAGGATTTGTTTATTCTTGACAAATCTGAGTTGGTTTCTTAAGACCTTGAATCCTCCAGCTGCTATATATATATATATATGCGTGTAAAATCTTTCTGGGTATTTGAGGTAAGCATGCCTGCTCTGGAATTGCCGGGCTCTGCTTTTCTCCTCTCTTTAAAGCTCAGGATGATCTTGGCTCCAGGATTTCTCCAAGAGAATAGCCAGTACTTGGACCAGTCCCTTTTTGCTATAATCTATGCTATAAATAAACAATAAATATAAAATATATAAATATAAAATATAAATATATAATAAATGCTATAAATTCCACAGACTCTGAAATCCTGAATGCATCAATCACTTTTGACTGTTAAGATTTCTAATTATGAAACAGAAATAAAATGCATCCAGAAAAATATTTTAGTGCATGACCAGATTCTGCTTTGAATTTTTGCCATCAAGCAATGACTTAGAGTCATCATTAAGGGATGATTTGGTTAGCAAATTTCATTATTTACTTTTAATTAGAGTCAGCAACTAAGGTTCATCACTGATATATCAATTTGAAGGTAGTTGAGGTTTATTAGAAATCTTTCAATTCACTCTATTGCTCTCCATGTAAGGGGAGAAATATCCTTTATCTCCTCTCCTCTTTTATCCAGTAGTCTTAGAAAGCTCAAGTTTTAAGTTTCTTCAGTAAAGTGAGTGTCTATTCATCATGGATTTGTAATTAATACTGAGTCTAGCTTCTAGCCCTTTAAAGAAGTGTATGTTTGCTAGAGAATGTGAAATAACCAGAGCTTTTTATTCTTAATTTTTGGGGATTTAGGGAAGCAGGCTTTTTTGGCTTCTCCTGCCTCAGGGCCTGTAAGGACAAAAAAAAAAGAGTGTTTAGTCTCAATGTGTTCATGGGAGCGTAGAGTAAAACATTTTATTTTAAGGCCCTGAGATGAAATGAAGCCAGTAAAAAACATATAAATGCTAAACCCTATTTGTTTAAATGAAAAAATCAAAATTAAAAAATCATGAAGGTCTGGTAGTTTTGCACTGTAGTCTGACCAGGGATTCAAATAAACATCTCTGAAGTCAATCTTCCTGTCCTTCCCCCTCCCTACCCAGCAGGAAATTGTCCTTAGGTACAGTTTACATTTTATTTGAAATTTATTTTCATTTTATTTGAAGGATTTTATTTTCACGGGCTGGTTGGCTCTTTTCACCTTCATTGCTCTCAGAGCTCGTGCAGGCCAAAAGGCCGAACCTGGGCCCAGAGCAGAGGAGTTTTGTGTGGCAGAGCCCCCTCCTCCTGCCGGCTTTCCCTGGTACCTGCTGTCCCCTGCTGTCCCCACCAAGCATCGCCCCGAGCCCTCTCTGCTGCCAGCTTACAGCCCAAACCCCCAGAAATCCCAAAAACAAGGACGGGAGATGACTTGGGGAGATGTTTTAGAGTCAAAGCAGTGTTTCTGTCCTTGCACTATTCATTGCTTGCCTTGCTGCGCTTTCCCTTTCTGTGCCATCCAAGTTTAACTCTGTGAATCCCAGTTTGATTTGTCTGGGATTCTTTCCCCCATAAATCACCTCCAGTGTGGACATTTTGTCCCCACCTTTTCTGCATTATCTGGGTGGCTTTTTGCAGGTCCAAGCTGAATATTTGCTGCCAGGTTTTTGAGCTGCAGCTTCCCCTCAGGCTGGTTGTCAGCTAATTACCAATAATTATTCCCATTTTCAGTGTGCCCCTTTAAA